GCTTCAAACTGGTGACCGAATGTATTGGGTCCCTAAGAGAACTATTATCACTCACATAAGGTGTATCTGTAAGGAATTTATTGTCTATTTGGGATGAACCTTCCTTTAGCTGTTCCATATAAGTTAATACTTTTTCCTCTGCAAGTAGTGTCTCTCTCTGTCTATGATTTGAATCTAACATTTGAATGGTATTATTGTCTTTATTTCTGCTATCAGTAAAGCATTCTGAGAGAATCAAATTTGTCCAGGTACTTTGGTCATCAACAGTAGCGTGCTGTAGGTAGGCTGCCACACTGATGTCAGATTTCACAGTACCATCAAGAAGCTGAGAACCTGGAACCCTAAACTGTGTTTCAGTATTTTCTTCACTCTTAGTGGATATCCATTTACTGTCAAAGGTATTTTCAGACTGAATAGGCTCAGTAGTATCTTGTGGCATGTGTTCACTTTTGACACAAGTCCCATAATCATCTTCTGTTTCCTGCTGTCTGTCTTCTTCACTGGTACATGAAAGACCAACATATCTTTCTTCAGAAATATTTGACACTGATTCACATATTACTGAGGATAGTTTTTCATTTTCATGGTTAGACTGGAATTGCAAAGTATATCCTGTCTTGTGGCCTAAAGAACAGCAGCAGTCATCAATATTCTGATTGTTTTCATTGTTCCTTTCTACATCTTCTACAGAAATTAGCAGCTGGTCACCTTCACTTATAGATTGATGATGTGAATAAAAAATATCCATTTCATCTTCACTGTCAGAATCAGTGTCAGAGTCATCATAACTATCATAATCCTCCTCATAATCTTCCCCCTCCTGTGTACTTTCAGATTCCTCCTCACACAGATCACCTTCTGCTTTCATTTCAACGTCCTCATTCCTGTCTTGTACATCATCTTCATACATATTCCTTAAATAGCTCATGCCTCCTTCCTTTCTTCCTTCACTCTCAACAGTAACTGGTAATTCTTGCTCCTTCTCTCCAAAACTCCCTGTTTTTTCCCTTTCCTCAGGGATTTTCTCCATAGTATTGGAATTTGCAGAAGCTATAGTTATGCTCTCAGGTTGCCCTTTCACATTTACATGAACATTCTCTCCAGCATTGTCTGCAAGTTCTTGAAAAGAGCTGGTCTCTTCTCTTAGGGTTATTCGACCACCTCTCTCCTCCAGAAAACCTAATGGAACTGATCTTCCAGCCAATTCTGGCTCTGGTGTACCATCATCCCCCAAATGCAAGGTATCAAACCCCTCATCACCTTCAGAAGTGTCAGAGGAATCATCATCTATTTGTGGAGTATCATAGACATCACTGTCATCATCATCATCATCACCCTGAGGTGTTTCATAGGCATCATCATCACCGTCATCCAACTGAGAGCTGTCCTCTTCAGAGGCTGCCTCACCACATTCCTGCTGCAAGCAGTTACTCTCAAGCTGTGGGATGCCATCATCCCCCTCTATCGATGAGTCAGAACTACTGTCACACGGCAGTAACTTGTGGAATATAAGATCATTTTCTTCTTCTGTCAGCCTTTGTGCTGTGCTGTTACTGTCCCCCAGGGGTGGTACATCAGGTAGGTCAGTATTACCATCCAATGAAAGCCTGTGGTGCGTGTCTGTGCTGTCTTCTAGACACAGCTTGTTCCAAAAACCACTACAATCCTCCAGGGATGGCCCTCCATGGATATAAGGACAGTCCTCTAGGGATGGACCTGCATATTCCTGTAGAAGTTGCACACCATACCTATTGTCTTCAAACTTTAGTGTGACACCACATTGACTAACCAATTCTTCTGGAATTCTATATTCAGTGTCTTCACTGATGGATGAACCAAGATTTCTCTGAAAATTATCTTTTTTGCTGTTATCCTGTACCATTCTGCTACCATCAGCTTGAAATATGTGAGACCCATGTTCTGTGCACCTTTCCAGCTCCCTCCATGTTTCATTATCTGACAAATCATTCATGCTCAAGGAATTTTTTAATGTTTTATCATTCATGTTTTCATTACCTAGACTGTCTCCCACACAAATCTCTTCTTTTGCTGTTTGTGATAAAATGTTTGTGTTTACATTATTTGGAAGATATCCTTCAATGTTTCCTGAATTTGTCTGCTGATTGTTATGCTTACAGAGTTCTGTCCACTCAGAAACCTCCGAAAAACCTCCAAGTTCATTTCTGTTCATGGAATTTTGAGTGCTGCTTACTACATTTCTGAGTTCTGCAGGGATAGTTAACAGCATCTCCTGTGTATATTCTGATTGCTCAGTACTCAAGATATTGCAAACATCTGGCCTGCACACATGGAGATCTTCTTGTGAAGATCCGTAATTCCCAAAATCATCAAATTGATTACATTTCCTGTTATTACAAGGATTCTCAGCACCTGAAAGAGCACCCTGAACAGTGTCGGCTGACTTAAGGTGGATTCCTTTTGAGCTTACATATTTGTTACTAAACTCCATTTCTGACACACCAGCATTGTACCCAGCACTATCATCTTCCAGCAACATACTGATGACTTCTTGCAGTTGTCCATCATATAATAAAAGTCTCTGTCCAGTGTTTGCATCCATATAACTATTTACCATCAGATAAGATGTTAATAGTTTCTTAGCCTGATCTAGATTATGACATACAGGGTCTTCTGTGCCAGAATCTTCATGCTCCTCCTCACAGTCATGAAATACAGATGGCAGGAATTCATAAGTTGATAACCATTTTGCAGCATTTTTACAAGAGGACTTTAATTCTTCTACATTGGGCATTTTATCTGGTAAAGTCACATTGGTCAAAACTGATACAGTATTACTGTCTATTATCCCTGATTCTGCAACCTTGTCAAGACTGATTATTTCACAAGTTTCTGGAATGTAAAGTGCAGCTATTTTCCTTCTTTCGTTCAGTATTTTGAATGCCAGTTCATTTGTAATCATATCTTGGTGCAAAGAAGTTGATACAGGGAATATTTCACCAGTGTGAGGCCAAATTAGTCCAACAAAGCCTTTCTGTGCTTCTAATACCAGCAGAGCACTGGTACATGATATCAAGTTGCATTGCACAGCTTCATCAACAGTCAAGCGTTGTCCTGAATTTTGAGAAAGGATTCCACCAGTCTGAACCTGATGTGTGAGGATCCCACAAGCAGTGTCCTGATCTATCATCCCTTGTCTCATGGCCTCTTCCACAGTCACTCGTTTCCCTGAGTCAGGGTCAATGATACCTCCAGACATTAACTGAGCACCCAGCAGCCTGAACATTGTTTCCCTGTCAATAAGCCCTTCATGGGCTGCCCTCAAAACAGTTACCCTCCTTCCACATTTGAACACAATTCTCCCTTTTTCTTGTGGTTTCACAGGTAGAAGTCTTAACCCTGTTGCTTCATGTATTATGCTTCTATGAACCATCTGTTCAAGGGAAATTTTCTCAGCACAGTTGGGGTCAATGAGATCTTTGCACGTATCTTGTCTTTCCAGGAGCTTTGAATATAGTGTTGGAGAAATGAGATTCCTCTGGAAAGCATTCTGCAAAGACAGCTTTTCTCCAGTAGATGGTAAAATCAAATACCCACGTGAAAGCTGATTCTTAAGAATTTTAACAGCTAGAGGTTCTGAAATCAGACCTTGTTCTAATGCTGAAACAACTGGAATATTTGCTAATGATGATTCTGATATAAGCTTCTTTGCATTACTTAATTCTTGCAGCTGCAACAGAATCTGCTCATCGATTAAGGCATGGGCTTTAGCTTCTTCCAAACTATAACACACTCCTAATTCTGGAGAAATTATTCCAGAAAGAATCAACTGATTCTCAAGCAATCTAATTCCAGTGTCATAGTCAAGAAAACCTCTTAAAATAGACTGAAAGACTGAAAGGACTTCTCCAGTTGTTTGGTCAATGACACCCGCAATGACTTTATTCACCTAAAAGGGAATATAAAAGAAAATCTATCATCATTTTTGAACTTTATGTTTAAAATTTTCTTTTGATTTTGAATGCATGAGAAGCATAAAAACATGTACTTACCAGGCCTGGAGGAATGTTGTGAATGTTAGCAGCTCAAATGCGCAAGTGATCTATGTCAGTCATTCAACAGCACACGATGTGATAAAAGATTTAAAACCAACATGCATCTGTGAATTGAAAACCTATGCTTTGCATACATAAATAGGGTTAGTGAAAGACAATAGAAGAAATGCTTGCAGAGAGGGAAAATAGAACATATACCTGAAAAGCACATTTTCATGCTATAAATGTCTGTGAAAGGTTAGAATATTTGGAAACAGTATGTGATTCAACACAACCATGCTATTCATGTTTACAGCATACAGCATTTCTGTATATACACTCAACAATATGGAATCAGATACTCTAGCACCAAATATTGCATTTAGTTTGCATGGAAAGCATGAAGTCAGTTTGGCAACATTATTTGAACTCATTACACAGACTCTGCCTCTATATGTATATGAGAATACTCACTCCATATTTAAGACTAATATTCATTAACAAATATATTCATAGTGTTTCAGAGCAAACTGTATTATGTCCTCCCATTTTCATACCCAAAAATATTTTAAGAAAAACTGAAAGTAGATCACTTTGAGGACATTTCTGAGTGATATATGGGAGAGATTAACATGTTATTTTATGGTGTCATTTTTGCAGCAGAAACACAGACTTATCTAGCAGTCAAAGAATGGCTTTTAAGAGAAGAGTTAAGAAATGAATGATTTGCTGATCTCTCTTCATGCAAGGCACACATTATTAAGACTCTTCACAAAAGAAGTCTGATGAACAGAATGAATGCTCATGTGCACAGGTAAGATCACATACAGTATTTCATAGCAAATACACGACCCCTTCAGTCAATTAAATATCAAGTTCCTTCCACACACTGTTAATCGCAGTTTCTTCTTTTGCTGATCATGTGTGGTTTGAAAACCATGCAGTAAATCTCAAGAAAAACTGAAATCTAGGTTTGAATCTTGTTACCTTTTCTTCCATCTTTTCATCACCCAGATGGGCTTCCTGCAGCTGCTTCAAAGCTTCATTGGATAACAAGCTGTAGCTTTCCTGGAGGGATCTAACTTGCTTTTCCATTTCATGTCTCTCCTCATCTGTCATTCTATTATGAAAAAAATGACCAAAGGAGATCTCTGGGTAATGTGTAACTGTTTGGGAGTGATCTGCCTACCTTTACTTAAAAATGGGGAGCAGAAATGAGTACAAGTTGTCTGGAAAAAATACAGCCTAATTATAAAGATGTTCAAGAAATCTACAATCTGATTGCAGTCATTCAGGAAAAGAAGCATTTAACATTTGCATGGGCCTTCGTCTGCTGATTATCAGCTAAGACAGGTAATATAACCAGCAAGGAACAATGAGATATCTCTTTATAACTTAAACTGTCTGTTTTCAGACACAGATGAAACAGTGTCGTGATAGGTAATTCAAGTACTCATTTAGTACAAATTTCTTAATTACTTTGATTTAAAATGAATATTTAAATATCTAATATTTTTAAGATGACCAGAGGTATACATACCAAGTGAAATTCTTGAAATAAACAAAATTGCATCAAGCTTCACCAGTGGGAAGACTAAAAACCCCCAAACTGTATGTGAAATGTAATTAAAACTATAAGGATATGATTTCTATTTTAAGCAAACAGTATGTATTGATCCAATTAATTTTCATTATTTGAAAAATAAAAAATGGCATACTTGTCACTGTGCTTAGCTAAAAATGACTGTGTAGTCTGCAGAGCTTCAGCTATTTGTTCTTTCTTGGTTGACATTTCATGAAGGGAAATCTGAAAAATAAATAACTTGTGTTCAAGACTTAACAATGTACATAAATAAACAAAACCCAACAAACAAACAAACAAACCCTTATTTGTATCTGGGACTAATCTCAATAATACAAGAGCTTGACATTTTTAAAAACACTGGCTATCCTTAAAGCAATATTATTTATCAGAATTGTATCATTTACATATGAGTAAGTCATTGTGATACGCCCTTTGATTAAGGAAGCTGTTTTTAGAAAACTATTGGGCAACACAAATAGAATATTTCAAAATGTTGTCTGATGGAAAGTTAATAAATCATTTAAATGGCTTATTATAGTTGGCACAGTTTAGGGCAGCCTTAAAAAGATTGTGTATGACAGTCATGTTCAAGAAGTTGCTCACCAAAATGAGAGATAACAAATTTTTGAAAAAACGTATCAGAATACCACAAGTAATCATGAAATTCAGTAACATAGACACATGCAATATGAGACACCTGGGAAAAAATGAATTATTAATTAATATTCTCCACACTATCAGTTCTGTGTCATCCCCAATAAAGGATTTGTTCCGATAGAGGAACTTGTAGGAATTTAATCTTCTAACTTTGCTGAGAAACTCCCTGCAGTCTCTCCAAAGAAAAGCACTCATTTTGGATAAATAAAGGCAAATTATCAAAAGGGATTTCTACAAGCTGGAGATATTTTCAATATAGGGGCTAGGTCTCGAGCATGGTGCTTGGGCCCTTCATTCACCTGGGTCTGGACACAACCAATCTTTCCTTTTATGCATCGTATCAAAGGGCCCAAAAGTCTCCCTCTGCAGTCACCACCAGCAAGCCACAATCTCATTACTTGTACTGCTTGCCCAGGAACCAAGAGAACCACTGGATGCACTATGCAAGATGAGGTGAGCAGGCTGAAGTAGCAGATGGGGTCACAGGATCCAGTTTACTCAGGGAACCAGTGTCGCTGTGGCTACTGCGTGCACCCTGCCACTACTGGCATCAGTTTCTCTTCCCAGTACTTGGCTGATGCCTTAAGTTTTAGCTTTCATATTTTCCAGGTTCTGTACTGCATTAGCATACAGCTCTGAACTTCATATAAAGTGTTAGCAAGTTCTCTTCACAGTTTAGTTAGATAAAACGATCTTTTTCCTTCCCAAGAACCAAGGACACTGCTGCAGCTGCAGGCCCAAAAAGTATAAACAGTGAATTGAGGAGAGCAAACTGGGAGGATGGGATTTCATACCCTGAAACTGTAATTGGACAATTAACCCCAACATGTAAATGAAGCAAAACTTACAAAAGTGACTCATGACCTGTCATCCATCTTGGGTGTAGCCACAACCGAGCTCTTGTACTGCCCAAGGTATATCACTTGAATGCCTTTGTAATAAATATCTACTTTATTCCCTTAACACTGCCTAGCCTCCCTCCTAGGTAGCCTCTTAAGGCATCAGGCTACACCCCACAGCAAGCCCAATCCTCTTTGTGAAATGTATTTCAGTAGATTTCAGCTATGAAATCACCAGTTTCTACGTGTTTCTACACAACTTGTCAAGGCATCATTGCTAGTCAGTGGAGACACAAACTCAGGCACCTCTGAAAGGTGCAGCTACCTTGCCAGGCCATTTCACAAGACAAGCAAAGACCCTCAGCAAACACCCATCTCCCAAGGAAGCCAAGACAGCCAACTCACAGGTTACTCACTGGAGGCTTGGGCTGGACAGAGGAGATGCCACCCACAGTTGCTGTGGTAAGCTGAGATGTCCTAAAGAGCTGAGGGCTAGCCCAGCTCTGATAAAGGTTTGCAGTGTAGTCATTAACAAGGGCAGAAGAAGAGCAGAATTGAATGCTTTTGCAAATCCTGATTTTAGCTATGAGCAATTTACCAATCAGTATGTTCAAATCAGTAGAAGCTTACCTCCTCCTCTACAGGGACAAACTCAGAGCTAGCACTGGTCCTCTCTGAACAAACTACATGCTGGAACAGTGGTCATCAGGACTGCCAATCTTCCCAACAGCAAGCTGGATTTAGGCTTATAGTGGTCCAGTGGCTCTGGCACCAGAAAGCATCACCAAAATAAAAATATAGGAACAGGATGGCAAGAGGGCCAAAATCATGTTTGCTAGATGACACATCCAGCCCTGTACTGAGGGCTGTGGAGAAAACACTGCTCTGTCCCTCTGCTGCTCAGGATGCAGGTAAGCCTTCACCTACTGAAAACCTTTTGTAACTAAGCTATTCCATGGGGCAAGCCCTGCAGAGGAGGTCCTAGAAATGACAGGAAACTTCACAGATGGAAATTTATGGTCTGAGTTACAACTGTACACAGTGACACTCCAACAGCCTGTGGCCTCAGTCAACACCTGCTGTACTTCCTAGGACAGCAGTTTTGACTATCCCTTAAGAGGCCTCCTCAGATTAACTTTTCAAAAGCAAATAAATTGAAACTTGGCCCTCAAGCCCCTGCTACTAACTTTCTCCTTCCTGGTGCCCAAAATGCCATCCTGAGAGGATGCACTCTCCCTCTACAAAGGCTGAGATGTGGTGTGCAGGGTTCAGTTTCACTGCTATTTTGCAGTGTCAGAATATGTGACATGCTAGGTCTGTAAAAAGCAGTGGGAGCTTCTTCTTAAGTAACATGCTTGTGTCCCTAAACATTGATGTTTATTTACCCAGCCCTCTACTCACAACCAAATGTGAAATTAAGTTCTGAGGAAAATGTGGATGGTGATTTGTAGTGGAAAAAACAAGTATTTATGGATTATTTTGGCATTTTAATCCATGCAAAAACCTAAAAAGAGGAAGTGGTGCTTTATCAAAAGACATGTGTGTACCTGCTGCTTAGGTAAATCTGTCTTTTCAGCCTTTTCTCCTTCTTCTTTGCTGAGTGTCTTGCTGAGGTTTGACACCCATTTCAGTAAATCCCCAGCTTTCTCAACATGTTCCTTCTTTTCCTCTTCCATTGATTTCTGATGAGTGCCATGAATTGTAAAGAAACATGTAAATGTAAATTGTTGAAATGTGCAACATTAATGTCTGTAGAAATAAAATTCTATCACAATTATTATTATTATTATTGCCACATAAATATAAAATGATTTCTTTTTTATTTCCCACCACATGCATTACTATTACACTCTGATGTAGGAACAAAAATGCCACATAATTATAAACAATAACAAAATAATACCTCAAGTGATTTTTAATTATGATAAAGGTGCTTATTCATACACACATACAATCATAAAATGATTGATAGCAAGAAAAAGCATAGCTTCCCAGCCATTACTCAGCAGATAAAATCTAAAAAGCATTTGCATATAAAGTATCTTTGAATTGCTGCCTTTGCATTACCCTCAGGTAAGGACATGTACAACCAGTATAGCAGAACAGTACTTTGCACATTATGCACATGGATTATCAAAGTACAATTAGGAAGAATACATTGCTTTTATGTCTACAGAAACAAGAAAAAAATAAAATACTGAGACATTTAATCTTTTTCGGCACAGGAAAACATACTCCTTTTCTTACAAGTATAATCTGTTAGAAAAAAAACAACATTAAATAAGATAAAAACTCAGGACTCAGGAAACACAAGTTTTTGGTGTAAGCAGCCCATTAAAATTAATGAAATACCAGTATGAGAAAAAGTACTGATGCATGTGTGCTTACGGCACCACAGATTTAATCCTTTATATTTAATATTTAATCCAATATATTTTATTGTCACTCTTGTAAAACAAATGGTATCTGCAGACTCATTTGTCATTTTAAGTAACAGGTCACATGAAACACTACACTGTGTTCACTCACAAAATGGGCAGTCCCTTTCAATCTTTAATGTAAGAATATGATTCTTGTCTCACCTAAATCTATCCACTTTGAAATAATATTAACAAACCTCAGTATAATTTCTCATTTACACTACCTACATGTAAGGTAATGACAGACAAGGCCTTCAGGTAAAGACTGAACACAAAGATTGCATTTTGAAATTACGAACCTGCCTATCTATAAATTTCAGTTTTGCAATAAGTAATATCTAATTCCACTGTCAGTGGTTTATGCTAATTAGTTGTTCATAACAATTAGTTTTACAGCAACTAATTAATGCTAGAAAACACCACTTATGATTTTAAAGGCTATAACAGATATTTTCCTTAACAGGATTTAATGCAGAGCCCAAAATGAGTACTAATATCTTTTGTCCACTATGAATTATAGTAAAGACTGGAAATTCCCGTTTTCATGGGCTGAGCTGCTTCTAACAACCGCAGCCCAGTGTGGCAATCAAAAACAGCTCTATCTAAAGCTTCTTTGTAGGTTATCTTCTTCTTAGTTTTAGGGCATGTTAAAACTTTAATGTGCAATTTTTCATCCTTCATCTTTGTAGCTGTGATAGCATCAATAATGCCATTCTTAATGGCATCTTCCATTGTTAATCTGGAATGAGATTTTGGATCTATCAAGCCACCAGTCAAGTACTGATACTCCAGGCAGCGCATGCCCATTTCCTTGTCTATGGCACTTAAATGCACAGCTTCAACAGCTGACATAACAGTGTTCCTTACAGGATGAATGATCCCAGTAAAGATTAGCTCGCACTGCTGGATTTGCTTGGCACAACCATCATCAATTAACTCCCTTTGCAAAGCTTCTGAAACACTGTACTTTTTCCCCGTAAATGGGTCAATTACACCACCTGTACTAACCTGAGCTTCAAGACATCGGAGGGCAGTAACTCTGTCTACCAAATTTTTGCGTGAGGCTTTCAAGACTGGAATTCTTTCATTGGTCTCAGAAAGCCAGAACCCTGCAATAGGACTGTTTAAATCTTTATGTGGCTGTGAACTGCTAACTAAAATATCACCGAACTCATTAACTGTGATGAGGCCCTCCTTATATTTGTTGACTAATGCTCTGTCAATTCTACCCTGATTTAAGGTCTCCTCAATATTAAACTGCATACCTGTTTTAAGATCTGTAAGCAAAAGAAAAGAATTTCCATCAGAGTCAAAACATGTAGACTCCTTCCAATCAAACTCCTGTTTTGAAAGCTCAAGATATGTAGCTTTATCTATGTAATTTTTTTTATAAGCCTCATACGAAGTCATTTCAGTTCCTGTGTCAACATTTATTACAGAAGTTTTATGACTTTTCTCTGCTGATGGGCTGCTTATTTTCCTTTCACCAACTGGAAGCAGAAAGCATTTACTGCTTATACTGAACAAACACATTTTCAGCAAATCACAGTAGTACATAGCTTTCCTGCTATTTGGATTGTGAAAACATTTTGCATTACTTGAAGGTTCATGCAAAAATTTTAAAATTGTGTTATTAAGCAAGCCAAGCTGCACGGCGGCTTCTGGAGGTACACGAACACTTCTTACAGGATCAATAACCCCTCCACATGCAATCTGAGCCTCAAGGATATTTTTACCTTTTTGTCTTTCTAAAAGTTGAGCTTCCACAGCCTGAAATACAGACAGCACTTTCCCAGAACAGCAATAACCCAAAACGGCTTTCTCTGCCTCAAGCAGTCTACTCTTGAATTCACTATCTGCAAGACCTCTAACAACTGAATCATCAACAGAGAATTTCTGACCTGTTGTGGGATCAATAATGAAACCAGTAGCTGCTTGGGCCTCTAAAAATGCTAAGGCCAGTGCTTTTCCAATGATTTTCCTCTTTGCTGCTAAAGCAAAAGAGAGTATTTCTTTGCTGGATTCAAGGTACAGCCCAGCTATAGCTGTAGGTTTAGTTAAAAATTTTTCAAGGCTTTTCTGAACCTCATCAACAGTTTTTTGCCCTGAAATGAGCTGTTCAACAGTGACCCTGTCTAAAAGTTTAACTTCAGTCAACTGCCTGGCAGTTACATCATGTCGGAGACCTTGAAATTTAATAGTGTCATATTCCTCTGTAAAATATTCCAGCTGAGTAGCATCATCAACAGTTCTCAAAATCTCTTCTCCTAAGAAAGAGCTCATCTTTGCAAAGTCTTCTTTCCTAAACCCTTCGGAAGTTTTGTATCCCTGAAACATTCTCTCTTCATTACCAAAAGTCTTGTTAGTTTCTTGGTTTAATGTTGTGACTTCAACATGCATGTCATAGTGCTTGTTCTTCGCTATCTGTAAATAGGAAGTTTTTGACACAGTGAGAAATACAACTGCAGACTATGCAGACTATAATTCACTCCTAAATCCACCACCAGAGAAACCAAAGGAAGAACTTGAATGCAAGTCAGAAAGGAGAACTGCTACTAGGATTGGTGAGCAGAGATATATAAAGAGCTTGAGTTTTGAAATGCATTTGCCATTTCAAATATTTATTCAATAACAGGAATACGACTAGACTAAACATCAGTAACTGTTGTTTGTTATTATATAAGCTTACTGCTGTTAATCTAAACTTTGACAAATACAGATAAAACAGTGTATGTGAATTCCTATTTTCAATACAAATTTCCAAAATAATCTTTCTTAGGCATTAACAAACCTGGCAGTACAGTCTAATATAAAGCCTTTTGTGTTATGTAAGACAGAAGGGGTTCCCTTCACCAAGGTAGGAACATAAGAAATATTAAACAGAATAGTAATAAAGCATTACCAAAACCAACCAACCAGATGGACTAGTAACAGGCACCATTAGGAAGGCAAACTCTCACAAAATGTAGTGTGTACCTCCAAGGGATGCAGTTTTACCACTCCTAATTCATGTTTTGTGTCTTCTCCATGTCTAACGGCTTGTCTGGAACTGTGTAGGTTCCTGTTTCTCAGTGTGTCCCTTTCAGATGTTCCAGAGATTTGGCTTCCTTTATCAAAAGTTATCTGGAATTGTGTACTCATCTGCGAAACAAACTCCGTAAAGGACTGGGAACTTGAATCTTCTAATGATTGGTTTATGCTTGACATCTGGAACTGCACCTCTCTTGGTATCGTATCATCAGCACTCACGTACAATGTATTTTCTTCTATTTGATCCGATTTAAAACCTGATCTTTCCTGTTTCTGCCTTAACAAAGGTGAGCTTGGTTTTGTACGTGGAGGAAGCTGTTCAAATTCTTTAGCTGCAGCTTCACTCAGGTAATTGAAATCATTCCCTCTTCTCTCACAGCTCAATTTAAATCCAGAATCTTGGAGTTTATTATTTTGCTGAACTTCGTTCTGAAATGAAAGAAACCTGTGTTCACTCTCCCTGACCTGCAGATCTATCTTCTGTTTCAAGCTCTCAACCATGCGCTTCTGTGCTTCCAATTCTTCCTCGAGTTTCCTGCACTTCTGGTGATAGTCCATTTCAGCCTGCTTCCCTTGCTGAAGTTGTTCATGACATTTTTTAAGCCTTTCTTGCAGATCTTCCATTTGCCTCTTGTACAACATGATGTTTTCCTCAGCCATATGCTTCTCTTGCTGAAGAGCAACACATTCTAGTTTTATACCAGATATGTCCTTTTCTGTGATGCTATGGGATTCCAGTAATTTTTCAACTTTTTTCCTAAATTCCTCTGCAGAGTGTTTAAACTTAATGGATTCTTCCTGAAACAGAATCATCTTCTTGCGTGCCATCTGTTCATCCAGAGTCTTCTGATGGAGTTCATCCTGCATTTTTTTTAATTTGCTACTTAGTTCTTGTATATGAGCTTGTTGTAGGGCTGTCTTCTGCTCACTCATTCTCTTTTCCACAGTTAGAGCATTCATCTGCGCATTTAAATTTTTAATCTCCCGGTCAATGCTAAGGGTGGAAGCATTTTGCTTATCACATTTTTGTTTATAGTCACTAGCTAAGTCTTTAGTTTTTGCAAGATCAGCTTCTAGGCTTTTGATTTTACATATGAATTCTTGCTCAATTATTGTCTGTTTGTGCAATTGTTCATTTGTCGTACGCAACTGTTCTTTGAAACCATCTGCTAGGGCTTTCAAGGCATCATTTTTCCTCTCAATATTTTGTTTTTCCAATGTCATCTTCTCTG